TATATATATATATATATATATATATATATATATATATTTTTTTTTTTTTTAAAGGGGGGAATACGCCTCTTCCAAGCAGGCCTTCGGACAATTCAGCCAAAAGCAAGAGAAAGGAAGCGATAGCGGGACAAGTTTCAATTAATTTTGCTTCAAAAGGAGGCCAGATTAAATGTTTCCTGCTTGCTGAAGTGTTCATTTCACAGAGGGGAAGCGGAGAAAGGGATAAGGGGAGGTTACGGGAGGAGGAGGAGCAGGACGGGGGCGCCATTCTTTTGGCTTCACCAAATAGTGTGGCGGGGCAAAGAATGCCGCACGGCTCCGAATCTGTGTGAGAATTGTCCTGCAGACAAAAAAAAAGAGGGTTGTTTTGTGGGGAGGGGTGGGGGTGGGGGGGTTACGCCTGTTACAGCCCAATAAGGCCCGTCAGTCACAAAAGGGGTTGTGGGGTGCGGCTGAGAGGAGGTAGGGCCCCGCTAAAGATTTTCCACACAAAAGGAAACAAGCGAGTCCATCTTTTAGCGACAAATCAGTCTGGAGGCTCCTGGGCTAATATCAATTTAAAAAAAAAAAAAAGGAGGGGGAAAAAAAAGGAGAAAAATAAACAAGTGAGGGAGGGGGTGAATGGGGAGGGAGGAGATTTACTGCGCCTGCCTTACAAGAGTGGAAAGAATCAGACACATGCTTGCAACATAAGACGCCTCAATGCGCATGGAGAAGTGGCTGAAAAGGCCAAGAAGACCACAATGGAAGAAAGAAGAGTTTAGGTGATGAAATAGGATGCATCCCCAATGACTCGTGTATGCACCTGCTGATGTTTAAACACACAAGTGAAAACACAAGTCATGTCAATAAACAGGTCACTTTTCTTCTCCTCTCATTGCACGAACCAAACAATCGCTTGCTGTTCTCTTCAAAGATTTTTGGCAAAACACAGCACAAATAAATCTTTGTTTCGGATTGAAATAAACCAAGTACAAACAAAATTGAAATGAGCCATTTGGCTTTGGAAATATACAAATAAAAATCTATATAGAATAACATGGGAGAAAAAAATGGCAGTTATAGCTAAAACAGTCTAGTGACCCAATTACAGTGCTGGTCAAAAAATTTTATGAATATTTTTTCCTGATTGGAATCTGCACCCATTTTCTATTATTATTTTTAGTGTTATAATTACATTAATACGAATAAAGTGATATATGTATTACTATTTAAGAATTAAGGGTTAACAGGTGGAATTTTTTTACTGAAAAGTCACAGCTCCGAATTACAAGGCATGTAGAATTCATATAGCGCAAGCTTTTATGGGACAAACTTAAAAAATGAAAACTGATGTGCTTGAACCCCCCCGAAATAAATGTTTTTGAATCAGGGTCAAATATACGTTTGGGGATACATTTAGCCAGCTCTGTTTAAAATCTGCTGTTGAAAATGTCGGGGCTTTATTGGTCCAATTTTCCTCTAAATTTTTCAAGTGATTTTTTTTCATCTACTTGCACATGAGCGACTTGTAAATCTGATGATATTTAATACTTTTGGTTGCTGGCAAATGTCTGTGGGACACTTCAGTCCTGTTGTTGGCATAAATGAGATGCTTCCCAACAATAAGTCCAAAACATAAAAAGGAGATGAACACTAAAGAAGGTAGGCCAATTGGTGTGTGTGTGGGGGGGGGGGGGGGGTTAGCCACTGTGATTGGCTGATGTGTGAAATAAAGCAGGACTTTGGGTTATCACACGGATGTACAGGTGTCAGTTAACTTAAAATAATAAATTAAATAATCAACAATGGCGAATGATCTCATATTTTTTCCAACCCAAATATTAGGTCATATAAATGCGATCGGGATACCTCCATTGAACGGGACATTGGGTTGTGTTGTGCGTGTGCTCCATTTGCAAGGAATCTTCAGGTTTGATTAAATACATTTTTAGCCACATGTTCCGGTGACAAAATAGTCTTGAGTGAGCTCAGGCAAAGGTGCAGTTATGAGCTCCATTACGCTTATGAAGCAAATCCACACAAATGTCTGCCTCTTGAGCAGCAGCCAAGAAAAACACTGTGGTCCATCCACGATCTTGCCACAGGGATCAATTCCCACTTTTACTGTGAAATGGAAAAGCATGTTATGATTGCTTTGAAGATTCCCGTGGTTTCCTCTTACTTCTTGAGTTTGTGTAAGGCAGGACTTTGGGTTATCACACGGATGTACAGGTGTCAGTTAACTTAAAATAATAAATTAAATAATCAACAATGGCGAATGATCTCATATTTTTTCCAACCCAAATATTAGGTCATATAAATGCGATCGGGATACCTCCATTGAACGGGACATTGGGTTGTGTTGTGCGTGTGCTCCATTTGCAAGGAATCTTCAGGTTTGATTAAATACATTTTTAGCCACATGTTCCGGTGACAAAATAGTCTTGAGTGAGCTCAGGCAAAGGTGCAGTTATGAGCTCCATTACGCTTATGAAGCAAATCCACACAAATGTCTGCCTCTTGAGCAGCAGCCAAGAAAAACACTGTGGTCCATCCACGATCTTGCCACAGGGATCAATTCCCACTTTTACTGTGAAATGGAAAAGCATGTTATGATTGCTTTGAAGATTCCCGTGGTTTCCTCTTACTTCTTGAGTTTGTGTAAGGATAATGCTATGTTTCATAGACCCAGGGGACATGGGGAGAAATATCGCAGGGTTTTAAAAGTTATGTTCTTTGTTTTCTTTGTCACATGTTGTATCACATTGTAAACCAATTTCATAATTTGACCGCATTTTAATGATGGATTATCGATAGATGACCACAGAATTTTGTGCTATTGTTATTTTGTGGGGGTGGGATGATCACTCTCTGGAAGCCCTGAACTCTTGTTTCCACATTGGAAAAAAAAATGCCTGTGGGTTGTGCCATAACAGTCGCCTGTGTGGATGTATTGCGGACTTCTTTTGACAGCAAACTAGTTTTGCTCTCATGGTTGGAGATGTGCATCCCTTAGACAGAAATGAAGAAGTTAAATATAATGTGGAAGAAACAACAATACCTTCAAATGCACATTTAAAAAGTCACCAATGCAGAATCATACAATTAGGATGGATGGAAAGTATAAAGCCACTCTGAAAATTTTACATTTACAAAAATGTAAAATTCTGAAAAAAATTTACATTTGGGAAGATCCGCACAACAATTTAAGAACCTACCCACTGAATTTCTTGAGTGTCCTCCACTTTGGGCAACATTAGGGCAGGGGGGAGAACCTCAGCCTGTAGGACAACTTGTAGGTCAGCCTCAGCTAAACCACTGGACACCGAGTTGACCCTCACACACTTCTCCGTCCGGCCCAGGTTTAATTCAGCCAACATCCTGGGAATGTTTTCCCTGGCCTCTGTCTGGAACAGTGGAAAAAAATTGACATCAGGACATGTGGCGTTGTGACCGATAAACCAAGTCAAGGAGCAACAACTGCACATTGATGCACAAAACAATAAAAAGCATTGTTCTTTGTTCTTTTAAAGAAAACATTCTGTAAAAACAGAGCAGGAAGGGAGGCGAGGATGTTAAATGGAGGGAAAAGAAAATCAAAGTGAGGACTTGCAGTTCCAAATTCTACCAGTACCAAAACATATGCCACTATATTTAAAACAGATGCCCGGGAATGGAAAAAAGGGGTGTTGGAATGATGGGAATGACGTCCTGTTACTGAGAGGAGCGAGCTTTCTCTTTGTGGGAGAAATCTGGTCCGAGTTAAACAACACAAGGAAACGGAAGCTTCTAAGTTGTCAGGTTTGATCAGAGACTGGGGCTGTTGATGGACCATTTTGGGTTTGCGAAAATGCTTTTCATTGTATGAGGGGGAAATTACTCTAAAATGAGTGTGAATGGCTGGGAGCTTTTGAAAGCCAAAATCAAATAGTCAGGATGAGCAAAAGAGTTTTTTTTTTTTTTTTGTGATCATGGAAAAGTTAGCTTGATCAGGTACGGTCCATATCGCAACAAAAAAATGACAGAAATTGTCAACGGATGTGAAGGGTGCAAGACTCACCGACTGGCAAAGATAATGTGTCAATAAGTTTATAATGCGTCGACTCTGAAACTTGGATGCACAAGCAGAATCATTTGGCTAAAGCCACCTTTGTTAAAGATGGCTTGTGCATTTGCATGAAGTTTCTGCGTTCTTTTCTGCAATTTGGTTACACTTGCTTCCTTTCAACAAGTCGTTGACGTATCACTATTAAATTGTTCAAACTAAAACATTTGAAGGACACATTTCAATAATCAGCCAATTGAATGTTGTTATTAAGTCTATCCCTGCTGATAAAAAAATAAATACCCTTTAAAAAATACAGAGGTATGTATCAAAGAGAAACTGTGGACAAATCTAACATCAGAGCCGTACGTCAAAATGTCTGTAAAATTAGGTTGATTTGCATTAGATTAAGTCATGTGAGCATTTATGGGGAACCCCCTCCATCAACATGGGGCCGGTACTGAGAAAAAAAGTCCCAATTACGACCTACTCCAACGCAGAACTCTACTTGATATTATGAACACCCTTCTAAAGCTATCAAAGTTGGTTTCAAAGCATGCAGTATTTAAAAAACAAAACAAAAAAAAAAACAAAAAACATACTGTACTTTAAAGGAGTCAATATTGGTCATCCATGGCTGGTCTCAACAAATGACCAAAATGGTGATCTTGGAACCTCTGATTGCACCATTTTATTGTCATGCTCATGAGCCAGTCATTTCGGGCTTCATCTTTGTAATTTAAAACGGAAAGGGTTATTTACAAGGCCATCATTCACGTTTCATAAAGCTGCCAGGACATCTGCTGCTCGTGGCAACCGTGGAAAACTGATTCAAGCGAATTACCGTCTGACATTGATCACCGGACCAAATCAATTGCCACCTACAAATCAAATGGCCTTAAATATTGTTGGATCAAACAGACTGAGGAGAGTTGAATGATTTCGCCGTAACGAGAAACCGAATCAAAATCATTGCTGCCCTTCTCTTATGATGATATTCCAGAATCTATTATGCCGTTGCTTGGGAAGATGGTCAGCTCACTGTGCCCTCTTTTTTTTTTTTATCATCTATAAAGTACGGAATGTTAATCTACAAGACACCTTGACCCCTACTGGATGTGCTACTCAAGACTTGAATAAAACCCTTTGAAAAGAAAGATTTTTACATTAATGGACAGCCGTCCAACAAGTTGCTTCAAAGCTCCCTCCCCGTATCACCTGGTGCCCCACGGAGCGCTCTCCCCGATATCAGCTCCATCTCCTCTTTGATTCCTTCCATCATCTTCATCATTAGAAGCTGACATGCGGGGAAGGCAGGTGAGCAACTCGTCAGCCAGTGAAGACAGGGTCTCTGAACGTGAGAGAACAAGCAGCTCCTTAACGTGTATCCTGAAACTCGGGATTCATCTTTGTAATTTAAAACGGAAAGGGTTATTTACAAGGCCATCATTCACGTTTCATAAAGCTGCCAGGACATCTGCTGCTCGTGGCAACCGTGGAAAACTGATTCAAGCGAATTACCGTCTGACATTGATCACCGGACCAAATCAATTGCCACCTACAAATCAAATGGCCTTAAATATTGTTGGATCAAACAGACTGAGGAGAGTTGAATGATTTCGCCGTAACGAGAAACCGAATCAAAATCATTGCTGCCCTTCTCTTATGATGATATTCCAGAATCTATTATGCCGTTGCTTGGGAAGATGGTCAGCTCACTGTGCCCTCTTTTTTTTTTTTATCATCTATAAAGTACGGAATGTTAATCTACAAGACACCTTGACCCCTACTGGATGTGCTACTCAAGACTTGAATAAAACCCTTTGAAAAGAAAGATTTTTACATTAATGGACAGCCGTCCAACAAGTTGCTTCAAAGCTCCCTCCCCGTATCACCTGGTGCCCCACGGAGCGCTCTCCCCGATATCAGCTCCATCTCCTCTTTGATTCCTTCCATCATCTTCATCATTAGAAGCTGACATGCGGGGAAGGCAGGTGAGCAACTCGTCAGCCAGTGAAGACAGGGTCTCTGAACGTGAGAGAACAAGCAGCTCCTTAACGTGTATCCTGAAACTCGGGATCCCGCCGAGTCCAGTGTGCAATAGACTCAGCATGGCTACCGCCTTGTTGACATCACATCCGACTAGAAAATGAACATGGAGTTAAAGTTCAATAAGGTGGAACTGCTCCCTTTCTCGAAACACTACCGGGAATTCCTGCCGTTAGCAAACTCTGGAAGACTCCAGTATTTCCGTCTTCTCACAGTCTCCATTGCAACCGGACTAAATCTGACAAGAAATGGCCAATGCCAATTTCAAGCTTTTCCAAAACAGAGGCTCTGAAAGAATCAGGTTCAAAGCCTTGTAGGTCTTTCTAACTACAAACAATACTGCTATCCCCAAATTATAGTCAGTTTTGCTACTTTTAATTATTGCAGTACAGTGATCCCTTGCTATATCGCGCTTCATTTATTGCGGCTTCACGACATCGTATTTTTTTTCCTCCAAAGTACTGTATTCATAAAGAAATGTCGAATGACTGAGAGGTTTTGTACATGACTGTACGCATCTTTGGTTCCTGGCACGATGTTGACCTGCGCATCTTCGCAGCCACACCCAAGAGTGTCTCGTCACGCTGTTGACTCTCTGATCAGTGTCTTGGCATGCTGTTGACGCTCTGATTGTTGGCCTGCCTCTCTCTGGCATACTCTTTTCTGTTGTGTTTGCTACATGTGCGGCGGGGAAAGTGTGTGAGACAGAGAGAGAGAGAGAGAGAGAGAGAGAGAGAGAGAGAGAGAGAGAGAGAGAGAGAGAGAGAGAGAGAGAGAGAGAAATTGTCCCTCGGTGTGAGCGTGGATGGTTGTTCGTCTATGTGTGCCCTGGGATTGGCTGGCCACCAGTTCAGGGTGTGCCCCGCTTATTGCCCGAAGACAGCTGGGTTAGACTCCAGCACGCTCGTAACCCTTGTGAGGATAAGCGGATAAGAAAAAAGGATGGATGGATTTTGCATTATCGCTTTCTTGCCCGTGCAGTCGTTAGTTCGTCAGTCTTGAATTATTTCTAAACCTTATATTTGTCTCGATTAGTTTGTCGGTGTTTCTCTATGTCAATAATGTCTTCACGCTTCATGACCTGAGCACCTTCACACTGCACCTGCGAGTTCAGCCATGCAAGCTGTTTTCCATGTTAGGCAGGTGCGCTCATTTCCAAGCAAGCAATTATCTGATCATCGAGATCACAGGTTCATTATAGTTCATTTGTTCACTTGGTCTGGTTTTGAATGGTTATAGAGTTTTGAAAACACATTTATTCTTGGCATCTTGGCACACTCATTTGTGGTCGTGAAGATGAATATGCTCGAGGCCATTTGCTCTGCTGTAGTAAGGATGATCTTATGTTATGATGGCATCTTTTAAAATTAACGTTTTATAGTCATAGCCTCTGACGAGTTATCAGCACACATCAGCAGTACACAACCACGTTAATGTTCCTGGGAGCTGTTTTTAACTTATTTACTTTCAAACTGCAGTTTATCTTGGCTGAAATTGTGAATATTAAATTACATAATATTAAATATTATATACTTTTAACATTGTTTAATATTTGAAAATGGGTTTTGAACTAACGGCCTCCATCGTAACAGACTCTTTCCCCTCATCTGTGGTTGCATAAATTAACACCACTGTTGACTATTTTGTAGAAATTCAAGCAAGACTTAAGTACTCCTCCACAGCACATGCACCACACATGGCTAACTCTGCACAGAGGCTCTTTAGACTCGATTTTGGTAATTTTATAGATGAGAGCAGGTAGGCTGATCTGTGAGAGGGAGGGCTGCAAGCAAGACTTAAGTACTCCTCCACAGCACATGCACCACACATGGCTAACTCTGCACAGAGGCTCTTTAGACTCGATTTTGGTAATTTTATAGATGAGAGCAGGTAGGCTGATCTGTGAGAGGGAGGGCTGCACCGCCGTTGGAATGATAATAACAGCTGAATTCAGTCATGGCCAATTGCAGCAGCCACTTTCCTTCCCTTTAATTGTAGTGCGCTAGTCGTGCATTGGAGCAGGGGTGTCAATTTCATTTTTGTCAGGGGCCACACTGTTATGGTTTCTTTTGGAGGGGTGTTATAAGGAACAACCAAAAACTGTATTCACAACAATTGATGAATAACTTTGTTGTTTTGAAATCAGAGGCCAGTCAGAACTGTTTGTTGAAATGTGATTACTTTTGTATTTTAAAAAGGGGATCGTAACAAAAAAAGTACTTCAAAAATCTCAAATTTTGAGAAGTGAAGGCAATTTGCAATTTTGCTATTTTAGCATGAAATTATGTGGATGCACATAATTTGCTTTCGCAG